CATCTGATAGATTTCCTTTACAGCACACACTGTGAAAGCCTTGTTCCCTCTCAGCTGGAGAGCTCACTCCCAGAGGCACTGGCCAGGGTGAACTGTGAGTATGTGAAGTTGTCTGCTTTTGTCTCAGCCACAGATTTCAGGGGGGGCGGGGTGTGTTTAGGGGTTGGCACTCTAGTTAAAAGGGGAGAGAACCAGATAAAACCAGTTGTATATTTGTCATCTAAACCCTGCTTGTTATTTCCATGTTGTTCTAAGCTTATTTTCAAAATGATAGGGATGTTGCATAATGTGGACCCAAAGGGACTTTTGCTTTAAACCACCTGGAGATTAAATTGTAATGTTAAATAATCCCCTCTATCCCCCAAACCCCCCCCCCAAAAAAAAGGAATAATTTTATTATAATAATTTGCCTACACCACATAAAAGAACGATCTTTCTCCTTTGATATAAATCGGATTCTGTCTCCTGTGAACTGAAATCCTAGTCTCCATGCCTTGGGTTACTTTGAAAAACTCTAAATAATTTAATCACACCTTTATTGTGTATCCAGATCACTTTTCTTCAGAGCTCTAGTAGGAATGAGAAAAAGCCTCAATTCACTGTGATGCACACACACACTGGTTTAGAGGTACACTAATTTTTGCTTCTCTCTGTGTTGCATGTTGGCCACAGTGTACCTTGCATTGAATCGCCTATTACTAAGAGAAGATAGGCAAAGTCATCAGGCTACAGAAACTAATGAAAAATTCAAGGGTAATGGTTAATGGCTGAAGCCAGAGGGAAAGCTTTGGGCCAGTGCATAACAGAGCCCAGTATCTAGAATAATAAAAGGGTAATATGCTAATTAGACCAGATATTATTCGGATATCCTTTTGGACAAAGCCAGGGCTGGAGGGAAGCCTGGGTCCCAGGTGCTAGAGTGCAAGTGCCGGCAGCTAAGGGAAGGCAAGCCTACTCTTGCAAGAATTTCATGCATTGGTCCTCTAGTCTACCTAATAAAGCAGAGGAATGGAGAGTGCCTGAACTCAAGGCATTGTGAATGTTTGCCACAGCGAAGTCTCTTTTGAAAATATCCCACAGACAATTTTATTCCTTTTGATTGAAAAAACAGTAGAAAGAACCAATAAGAATTAATTTATCTTTTGCCAGAGCCTCTGCTAAAAAGAAGTAAACACATTGTTTGGTCCTGAAAGAAATGTGACTCAGCTGAGGCAATCAGGCCCGGACTCACTAGTAAATTGAATCACATCCATTTGACCTCTGCCTCTGCGCTCTGAGCGATCTAAGAGCTCTGTGTTCTGAAACCAGCTTTTGCTGCAGCACTGCCAGCCCATGTAGCCGCGTTTACCATTTTGATTGACTCACCCATCCCAATACCTGGGATATAGTGTGTGTTCAGTTCCAGACCCAAAGCAGCAATGCTGGGGAAACACAGAGGGAGCATCCCAGGGAAACCCATCAACAGGCAACCGCACGCTCTCCCCCTATAGAGTAAGGTGACCAGACGTCCTGCTTTTTAACAATTTGTCCCGCTTCCCGCGGGAAGAATCAGGACTTTTTTTTTTTTTTTACAATGCCGCGGGATGGGGGACAAATTAAAAAGCGGGACGTCTGGTCACCTTACTCTAGAGTCATCTACAGGCAACAGGAGGACAAGGTAGGGATCCTTCCTTACTGAGCAAAAGTCTCAACTGCACAAGCAGAGCAAAGACCCTCTCTTCGGAACCAAGGCGGAACTTGAGGCTGAGAGGATGGTAATGCTTAGACCTTAAATGCCATGGTTGGCAAACTGGGGGTTGCGAGCCACATGCGGCTCTTTGGCCTCTTGAGAGTGGCTCTTCCACAAAATACCACGGCCTGGGCGAGTCTATTTTGAAAAAGTGGCATTAGAAGAAGTTTAGGTTTAAAAAATTTGGCTCTCAGAAGAAATTTGAATCATTGTACTGTTGATAGTTAGCTCTGTTGACTAATGAGTTTGCCGACCACTGCCTTAACAATTAAGGCTTAACCAGGAGGGCTGTTGGAGTGTGTTGTTGGTGTTGCAGGGAGAGGGTTGTTGTATGGGCTGCGTGAGCATCACCTGGAGCTTGTTAAAAATGTAGCGTTTTCCCCAAGAGCCTTAAAGTATGAGCAGCAGGAGTGTCAGCTGGGGCATGTTACAGCTGCAGCCCCTCTGGTCCACCCCAGGGCTTCTGAATTAAAATCTGCATCTCATGGCAGCCCCAGGCAGTACATATATAAGGCATTTACAAAAGAAAAGCAGTGCTCAGTCTACAGGAGGGGGCCAGCAGAAGGAAGAGGAGGAGGAAGCTGAGCCAGTAGGACAGTCTGACATGTGAGTGAAACGGACAAGGGTTTGAGCTAAGAAAGCCGGCCCTTCATCTGCCACCGGCCTGGTCCGTGCAGCTAGCCTCTGTGGTGCCTCCTTTCTTTCCAGAAATCTGTAAGTTCTCACTTAGAACAGGGGGAAATGGACATGTTTGCTGCTGACCCTTCCTTTTCTCTGTTAAATATGCCACAGTCACCGGCCTGCATGTTAGCCACAAACTGGTCCTTCCTTCATCAGTATCCCTCTGTGTGGCCAGCGGACACAGGCAGCAAAGAGAGGCATTTTGAAGTGATAGACTTTTAAAATATGAAGTTTCTTCCAAAGATGTTTTCTTCTGAGCTGGAGAATATAATTGCATCCAGGCTACCCTTTGAGCCACTTTTAATAGTTCCTATTCTGAGTTTGGGGTCCAGACCTGTGACATACGACCGAAAAAGTTTGTTTCTGAAGCCCCTTCGCATTCTGTGGAGGATGCTGCCTCCTATGGAGTGTGTTGGTGTTGCAGGGAGAGGGCCTGGGGTGCGGGGAAGAAGGGGTGTCTCAGTTGCCTGTGGCTGTGTCCATGGCTGCATAGCAAACGGCCTCAAGTGCCCCGCTTAAAAGAGAAATGGTCCCAGTTCTGCAGCTGGGCTGGTCTCGGCTAAATGCTGCTTCTACCGCAGTCAGCAAGGGGCTGGAATGGCAAACAGGCTTTGCTGAGAGGGCTGGGTCTGGCTGGGGTCTGGCTGGAAGCCTCTCTTTCCATGTGACCTCACATCTCCCAAACCTCTCAGATCCGGGCAGCTGGGTTCCAAGTAGAATTCTGCAGAGAGAAGCCCAGGTTGCCACTCTGCTTGCTTTACATTGTCCACTGCCCCAATGATAAGAATACAGGGTATAAGGAGGACTATACCCAGATGCAAAGCTCAGGACCATCTGAGCCCCTTCTCACAACCCACCACCCTTGCTTCCCACCAACCTCAAGTTCCCACCCCATGCATAGGGCAAAGATGGAGGGGAAAATGTAAGTTGGTCACAAGTCCTCATGTGTACCCTAAGTGCTTGTATATTTGTACATAGCCAAGTGCATACATGTAGTGATTGTAGAAACATAGATTCCCCTTTATTTAAGAGTTTTACCTTATCCTACTGAGCATTGTCTGGAGGCAGGGTTATGGGAGAAGAGTGAGTGGGGGGAGGGCTTCCAGCCAGTTAGATAAATCAATCAGTATCTACATCAAAATGTGATCAGATGCCACAGCCAGGTTATCTTAAATTAGTTAACATGGTGGCTATGAAAGGACAGTCCTATGGGTACCTGATCAAGACATTGTTATGTTCTATCATGTTCTGACAATAGCATGGAAAATGACCTAAGGGATATAAAATATTATTTTTCATTTTCCCTACAATGCTATACAATATCCTTTACTTTATAGGGATTTTTTCCCCTTTCCTTTTTTTTTTTTACTGTCTTGTTTACTTACTTGAAGTTTTCTATTTATAGCAGGCTTACTCTATGCCAGGCCATGAATTCCGTGCTGGGAAAGTAGTGGTGAATTAAATTAACCTGCCGTTCTCCTCTCACTGAGTTTAGAGTTTGGCGCTATGTTTTTTTTAATGACTCTAAAATTTAAAGAGAACTTTGAATAACTTAAATAATGTGAAAGTAAGTTCATCTTCCTCCATGGTCTTGACCTTAAACTCTGTAAGTTCCTAGTCTTCCCACTATTACAAACAAGAAACAGAGGAAGGAGGTTATACCATCTTTATGCTTACAGATTGATGAAAGGAAGACTGAAAGGTTAAGTGTGTACTTGCTTATGTTTATACCACTTAAGTGAGATGAGTGGAACTGTAATTCAAGCCCAGCCCTTGTGATACTGAATCCAGTCTGATTCTCATAGGACCATATGGCTTCATTGGGATATTTAAAGTGGTGCTATCCTAATGAGGTAGCAAGAGATTTCCTGGGGACCTGGCCTTTCTGGTCTCTGCTCATCTCAAACTCTTTGTGAATAGCACTGAGCTAACATTGACCTCAATTTACCAGTGGCTTCTTCGTAAATTTAATTCTACTTTGACTAGAAAGTCTATTGCATACTGGGATATTCCTAAACAAAAGAGGATTCTCAAAATGACATTCACAGGTCAGTAGCTCACATAGGCATAGATGCAGAATATGGTGAAATTGTTGACTGTGGGCACATTATTATTTCATCAAACTTCTTGTGTTCATCAACAAAATAGGAATGATAGTAACTACTGCATAGACTGAGATGAGTAAAAGAATCCATATAAAGTCCAGAGTCTGGTCCATAGTAAGAACTAAAATTATCATTATTCTCTTGGGGTGATGGTGATGTTTGTAGAGATGCTTTGTTCCTAGTCTTGTTCATCAGAGATGCAAGGCATGTTGTGAGGACTATATCATCCCTAAGTTCTCTAATGCAGATTTTATTGTGAAAATGTCATTTATAAGCCATACATCTGCCTGGAAGACTAGAGGTATAGATATAGGTTAGCATTAGAATTTTGTTTTTTCTGATGATGATTTTTCTTCTTTGATTGACACAAAAGAACATTTAATCTACTAAAACAAAGAAAAACCACAACCAGTATTTTGTTTTCAAATGTTCCAGCAGTGCCCAGCAAGCAATAAACTCTGACCTTTTCATTCCACTCTCTTTAGGGTTTGATGCCTATTTTACAACCCGCACACTTGAAAACAACAGAAGAAACGTCTGGTTTGCTGAATACTGGGAGGAAAACTTCAATTGCAAGCTGACGATTAGTGGGTCAAAGAAAGAAGACACAGATCGCAAATGCACAGGTAATTTCATTCTCTTGGTCCTGTTACTCAACATGGCCAGCACTGAAATGTCTGTATAACTGACAGAAGGAAGCTTGGCTGGAGACAAATTGAAAGGGTAAATTGAATTTTACTAGATTGCTCAGAAAATGGAACAGGAGCATAAGTCTCCGGGGACAAGAGAAGTACAGACAAGATTATTCTTTTCTGCCTGTCTATCTAGCAGTAATTGGCATTTTCATTGATTCTTTGAATTCAAAAGGGGTCATGTTGCTGTGAATGCTCTCACAGATAAATATCGGTTCATGTTGTAGCCAGGAGGCTGAAGTTATTTTCACATAGACAAAAATCTCTTACAAATTCCATATCGGCACCTGATTTAATGGCTACCATGGGTGGTATATTTGAGTAAGGAAACAAAGGACTTGGGTTTAGAGTAATGAGTTTCAACTGAGTTTCATAACATTAATGTTAATGACTCACCTGCTATTTAAAATAGGTTTAAAAATAGTCATCCAGCCTGAAATGTAACCTTGCATAACTATTCCAAATTAAAAATGCATGTGTGGCCGAAACTGGTTTGGCTCAGTGGTAGAGCATCGGTCTGCGGACTGAAAGGTCCCAGGTTCGATTCAGGTCAGGGGCATGTATGTTGGTTGCGGGCTCATCCCTGGTAGGGGGTGTGCAAGAGGCAGCTGGTCGATGTTTCTTTCTCATCGACGTTTCTAGCTCTCTATCCCTCTCTCCTCCTCTCTGTAAAAAATCAATAAAATATATTTTAAAAAATGCATGTGTGTCATATAAATACATTAGTAAGAAGTATAGTTTATGTTCATTCATTGATCCATTCAAAAATACTCATTGAACAACTCCTTTTTGCAAAGCAATGTGCTAGGCACTGGTGATCTGATGGTGAACAAACCTACCAAGAACCCGCTTTGGTGCCACTTAGAGAATAGTGGGGGAAGTCCACATTATTCCAGGGATCTCTATATAAATATATAATTTTAATCTGCAATACGTGTCTAAGTGCTATGAGTATGTAACCAAGGAATTTCACTCATTTAAAGCAGAAACTGTCTCAGAAAACCTCCTTAGGAATAGGAATCACTGGCTGATTAAGGAAGGAAAGAGAGGGAAAGATTGAAGAATTTCTGATGATGAAGAACATGAAAAAGGGCTGCCTGCAGGAGGAGTTATGGTACCTCTCAGGATGTGAAAAAAAATGTGACTAAGGAAAAGAGAATGAATGTGTGAGCTCAGGTTGTAAGTGCAGAAATACAGACAGGGAGTAAGTCATGTTGGGACTTATGTGGAATGTGGTCTTTATTCTAAGAATACTAGAAATCAGGCAAGGTTGTGGCATGATCTCCTAGCTTACCACCTATCTCTTTATTAAACAGCATTTCCCATTCTATACTTGAGTTGCCCTCAAGGTTTGTTTGTTTTTTTAAATATATTTTTATTTATTTCAGAAAGGAAGGGAGAGGGAGAGAGAGATAGAAACATCAATGATGAGAGATATTCATTGATTAGCTGCCTCCTGCATGCTCTCTACTGGAGATTGAGCCTGCAACCCAGGCATGTGCCCTTGAGCAGATTTAAACCTGGGGTCCACAGGTCAGCATTCTATTCACTGAGCCAAACTGGCTAGGCTACCTTCAAGGTTTGTAATAGCAACCTTGAAATCCCACTAAACTCTGAAATGCATTCTGTATACCCAGGAAAGCAACACTCATGTTGGAAATACTTAGTTTATTTTGTGATATAGCTCTTTGAACACCCATTCCAAAACATCTATTAATCAGGAATAACATATACAAAAAACACCATCAATAAGTGAAGATGCTCAAGTTGAGGTCTTTTCCTCAAGAAATTTTCTGTAAAAAAAAATAAAGATAAGATACGAACAGGGATGGGAGTAAAACAATGATACATAATAAATAGGCATAATTAAATGTGTTACTCAGTTAATTACAATATCCTGCTAACAATATTCTCTGTGCCATGCTATATAGCATCAGTGTTTCCAGAAATATCCTTACCATGTTTGGGGGAAAAGGAAAAATCAATTTGATGTTGACTAGATCTACGTGACACAAAGCTTTCAAGTGGAAATTGAACAAGAGAGTTTGATGTCTGCATAATTTGTCTGTATGACAAGGAACATCCAAATATACTAGAAATAGCCACATGATCGATGACAGGTTTTGGTTCTTTCTGACATGGAATATTCTGTAGAGTGTCTCGTGGTCATCAGGAATGTTCCACCTGAGATCAACCCCTGGTCCTTTTATATGCTTTAACCTAAGTTGTATTATCTGTAGTCACATTTTGGTGTTGATCACTGAGAATCTGGGTTTATAAAAACAAATCAACTCATTAGCCAAACCGCCAACTTTAAAAAAGTGGAAATACAAGTAGTTGTATTTTCATATCATGCTCCATCCATCTAAAAAAAAATGATGATCCCATTTACTAAATTGCCCATGGCCCCAAATTTATTTGAATAGTCTCTTCCATCTCTTTTGTTTCGTCTTGAACTGGCTCTTATACTCACAGAGGGGAAGGAGAGGCCAAAGAAAGAAGCAGACCACTCCAGATTGGTAGCTGGTAGAATTAATAAGCCAGGGCACTTGTCTTAGATGCTGTCAGACAAGTAGATCTCTGAACGTGCCCACCAGGACCTTAAATGTTCATATGAAGGCCTTAATGGGTTCGGCCATGTATACAGACTCCAAAGGTATCCCCAGCATATTCTCTCATGATTACCCTTGGAAGAGTTCCCCATGTGAGAGCAGGAGTCAGGGTGTACATTCTGAGGGCAGGGGAAGGTATGAGGAGCTTCCTATGGCCCGGGTCCAGCTTGTGGGTCCACTGGCAGTCATATCCTCCTGATGACCTCCTTTACCTCAGCTCCTCCCATTGTGAGAAGGTGCATCATTTTGGGTGAAGGTAAATACTATTGCTTCCATTGTGTCTCTTGCTCTTGCCATCACTGGATATGAACACATAGGTGGTTGTATATTTTTCTTTCTTGTACTTTCCTTTTTCAAAGCCAATTAATCTTGTATTTTGCATTGGAGATGTTACCAAAATACTATTTTAAAAATTTTACTATATAAGTATACCTCAACTTAGAAGAGGAGAAATGGTGGGAAAGGCATGCTGAGATGTGCTAGACTAGAGGAAAAGAAGGAATGGGGAGAAGTGACAGATTGCATTGTATTAAAGAGAGTTCTTGAATCTGTGGTAAGAAACTAAGTTTCAATGAGGAAAACGAGTGGAGGGGAGAGGGAAGCCTGGTGGTATGAGGGAAAGCTGCTTTGGCAACCACATTTCGAAACATTAGAAGAATAGGCCCCGGGGGAGGAAGCTACAAGACCAGGGGGTTAGCTGAGTAGTCTGGCGTGGAGACCGGGCATGCTCTGACCTGAGGGCTGAGGAAAGCAGGCCCCTTCACACATTTCTGTGCCTGGGCTCTACTAATGAGTACGAAAGTCAACGTATTTATTTCAGATTCAGACACAAATTAAAATGTAAACTTTTTTGTTTTTCTGGGCTGTATATCCTTTTTAGCTGTAATGAGCAATTGATTGTGTATTAGCTCTAAGTAGCCTGTCAACAAATCAGTCATCTGGCAAGACAAGTTTTGAAGCTGAGTTATGGGACCCTCACTACTTGGAGAGAGCAAACTTCTGGGGTCAAAATAACAATGAGCACTATACTTTAAACAATAAAATTGTAAAAGAATAACAAAAAAACAAACAAAAAAACAATGAGCTTTAAAAACCCAAGAGGGTATAAAGTCATGGAAGAAAGAATAACTGTTGAAAATTTTATTAAAAATCAACTAGGTATACTTCAAAATTTAACATAGGGTTAGATGTGCATGGATTGTTACAAGTTGGGGGTTGGGGGGAGGAATTAGCTAAATAGCCTTGTGTTCTTTATTCCTATAAATTATCCATATGCATTTAAGGTTCCCTTTAAGAAGCTACCACAGTCTTCAGTATTTTAAAACCACTACAACTTTCCTTGAGACCCTGTCCCAAGATGTCCTAACCCTGAAAGCTAGACATTTTTCCTCCCAGTGGCGGCCTAATTTCCATTCGTAATATTTAACCTGCAGTGACCCATCCTGTTCATGGATTATCCAGGCAGCCATCCCCCAAGGGATCATGCCGTTGTGCAAGTTTATTGATGGTGTAATCACATTAGCAGGAAATGCAAACAGCATTTGACAATACCAATGCCCGGCACACTGCCTTATGGAAGAGCCACATTCTCGCATAGAGACAGTGCAGGCTCCACACACAACAAAGGCAGCCAGCTCTGCCAGGCAGTCAGCACAGAGTCCTTGTCATCTGTGGGCAGTAGGGTCAACTGTGATTGTTTGTCAGCTGGGGTTGATGTTCTGCCGCCTCCACATCACTTGTTGTGTGTGTTCCATCTCAAGACTTGCAAGTGTATCGCCGACACAAAGACCCGTTTAGAGTCTGATCTCTTTAGAAAGAACATTTTATTTTTGTGAAGATACCAAGGTCAATAGCAGAAGGAAAGTGACAGAGGTGAAGAGGTCTCTGACAAAGAGACTGAGGACAAAGAGTGTTTAAGAAGCTTGGGTGTGCGCCAAAACAGGTTTGGCTCAGTGAATAGAGCGTCGGTCTGCAGACTGAAAGGTCCCAGGTTCGATTCCGGTCAAGGGCATGTACCTTGGTTGTGGGCACATCCCTAGTGGGGGGTGTGCAAGAGGCAACTGATTGATGATTCTCTCTCATCGATGTTTCTAACTCTCTATCCCTCTCTCTTCCTCTCTATAAAAAGTCAATAAAATATATTTAAAAAAAAAAAAAAAAGCTTGGGTGTGGGCCTGAAAGCGACCTGTGTTTGTGTTCCAAGGCTGTTCTTGAGACCCCAGTGAGAGCACAGGCATCAATGAACCTCGGAAACCCTCTCCTCAGCCTTGCAGTGGGGGAGATGAGACTTGACACTCAAAGTTGTTGTGGGGATTAAATTAG